TATTCTATAATCAAAAACTCAAGTCACAAGTTTCAGTCAATGGCTTGATTCAAAACTTTTTAAGGTTTTTGGTGCATTTTCTTCATACCTGGCCGACAAGACCTTCATACAGACCAGACTAAACTTGACCTTTCATTCAATAAATGAACTTTGACCCTCAAAAGGTGTTTTTGCCTGATTTTTTTCTATAAGTGGATATGACTGGTTTCTGATTGGGATTTCTTCAAACTTGAACATAACAATCTTCAAGGATCAAAACTTCAAGATAATTAGACAGACCTTGAACTTCACTCCTAAATGATTTTAGACCCCCTTTAAGGCCATATTTTTTTTTATAATTTTCATTTTCCCTTTGCTTGGCATTAGCTTTTTTTTTGTTAAAATAAAGATTTGGGTTGTGTTAATATTAAGAAACCTTCATGTTTAAAAGTCAACTTTTACCTTGGCCCCCTTTATACCCTTACCTAAAAGGGTTAAACTATTTTAAATTTTTTTTCTTGGGGTGTAAAGGGTTTAAAAAAATTCTTCAAAACCGGGGGCACCTTTTGCAAAACCGCTTTTCATTTTTTTACACCCTTTGAACCCGCTTCGAATTAAAAAAGTACTTTTCTACAATTGCCATAGTTTTTATGTAAAGCAGAATCTGGAAATTTTTTTTAGGTGTTTCCCCCAATATTATAATCCTCTGGGGTTTTTTGTAAAAGTGCGTTTTTTCAATTAAATTTTTTGGGAAAAAGTTGGGAAAGAAAAGGGTTGAAAAATAATATTTTAAAAAAAATATTACAAACAGGGGTAAAAGTTCCATGAACCTTTTTTTTGGCCCCAAAAAAAATTAAATTCAAACCCTTTTTTGATTTCTTCATACCCCTTTGTTTTTCTTCGAAATTTCCGGCCGAGAAGTGTTTGCGGTTTTCAGGGCTTTAAGGATGCCGGCATTTGGTTTAACCCCCCTTGTTTGGGAAAGATTGCATTATTGTCCCCAAATTAAAAGGGCTAACGAAATGGGGTCTTGCTTGTTTTTAAAAATTGTGTTTTGCACCCAATTTTCAAAAAAAATGCCCAAACATTTGGGTTTACCAAAATTTAAGAAATTGGCCCCTTTTAAAAATTTTTTTAAATTTATTTTTTTTTTTAATTTTATGATTTATTTTATTTTTTACAAGTTCCCTTGGGAAAAAAGTTCGAAAATTTTGCTCTCTTTAAAAATTAAATTTTTCAAAATGAAAAAAATACGAGAAAAAAAGGTACCGACGACAAAATAAATATATGAATAAATATATAAATAAATAAATAAACGACAAATCATTAAAACAAACACGCATGTACATACACACTCATATTCATAGAGAGAAGTGAACAAGCTTCATTTAATTCTTAAGTTTATGTTTTACTTGAGTTATTTTTATTGATTTCTCTTTGGTTCTATTTGTTAGAGTGTTATAGATAGTTTTTTATAGATAGTTTTTTTTATAGACGATGCTATTTCCTTTTCACTCTGTATGCCTTTTTCAAATAGCAAACTATGGCTAACGTTTTGGGTATTTCATTTGAAAATATGATATAATAATTGTAATATTTCATTAAATGCAATTTAGACCACTGATTTGCAGAATAGTACATGTCCAAAAAAGTTTGTAAATGTTTCTAAATTCCTGTAGCAAAGAGCACAAAGTTGAATTGTATAGATTGTGTTCGAATATTATAGTATGTGTAGCAATAAGTTTATAGAGAAACTTGTATTGAAAATATATTAATGTCACATGTATAGTACTTTTAAGTTGTATAGTTTTTTTTATTCCAATTTCAATTTTGTACCTATTTCTTGTGTCCATTTCTTTTCATCTTTATTTTTACCTTTTCATCACCTGCCAGTTGAATATTATATCAAAATTTATTTATCGTTGTACCAGTGTATTTGGTTCTTCCATATAAGTTTGTAAGTAAGAACATATTTTATTATAGTGACATATTCAATATGTTACAAATATACAATAATTAAGATTATTGAAACAGCCGGCCCGATGAATCTATAAGTCAACAAAACCATGTCATCATAATGAATTCAGGTATTGCTCAATGCTATGATTATACCCAGCAAACACATGACGTTGTTTCAAAGTTGCTCAGACGTTAGAGTCCGACGTTGGATAGACGTTAGAATTTAGTTGTATATGAAAGTTTTTTAGACGTCAGAATCCGACCACAATCCAACGTCATAAAATGACATAAATCCAACCTATATGTAACGTATATACAACTACTTTCCAACCTATTCCCAACGTGAATCCAACCAGTTTTCAACATGATTCCAACCAGTTACTGACGTAATACCAACTAGTTTCCAACGTAATTCCAACCAATTCCCCATTAAATCTAACCCGTTTTCTTTAAATAATGCCCAAATAAAGAGAAAATACAAAACTTTCTATACTCGAAAAGTGATTTATTATTCAAGAAAGTAATCATAAAAACAATTAAACAAACTATTCATGTAAAACTTACTAGACAGTAAATATATATTTCCAACATATATGCATAACATCAAAAAAGGATTCACTTTTAATCATTTATAGTGATAATAAAATAAGGTTTGATATTTATAAAATGTATATAAACTATTAAAATTTAACAAAAAATAAAAGCTACATGTCTTTTAAAAATTGTTCATTATTTATCAGACCTCTTTCAGTCAATACAATAATACACATTGTGTAATCCAAAATTATAACAAATAACAGTCAACAAATCATTTTTATTTAAAGGTCTACAGTATACATTAACTACTATTATCTTTTACAACATATGTCAATTATAGTATAAAACATGCTTAAAAAGGTTTTCTTTTAAAAACTCATAGAAAATGGAATTCATGGAAAATAAACCTTTCTTTTGCAGTTTATTTCATCGGTAGGTAAGGGAAAATATTCCTTTCTGTCAAAATTAAATGTAACACACAAAACAATAATATTCACTTTTAAAAAAAGTAGGTGATTTTTTTTATCTTTTTCTTCTAAAACTAAGTAAAAAGTATTAAATTTGGAGATATACTCCTCCATGTAAATATTTCTGATATACTAAACGTTCACCACTGGATCCTGATTATTTTCATCTACGAAAGTAGTCAAGGGGGGGAGGATAGAACACTTTTTTGAGTAAAAAAATAAAATCACTTAAGCGTAACGACAGCGCGCCGCCATCTTGGAACATTGAGTCATCGTCTCACGTTACTAACGTCCGCCATATTGCGCCGACGGATCTGGCGGATCATATTGGTATATCTAGCAGACGACAGTTTAACTTGTCCGCCTAAATTTGATCTTTTTACAAAGTATTTGTTTTAAGCTGGATTTTAAACCTCTGTAGCAGACGTTCTTTTTCCAATTAAAGGTATAGGGCGGTTTAAACCCTCAGTGAAGTAAAATAAGTATTTCATATTAGAGGAAAAATAATTTAACTCGGCCTTTTGAAATGCAACCATGCTGAAACTAAGCGTTCACTCTACATACAACGGTTTATTTTTAACTAATTCACGCAGGGATGTCTACATGCTTTAACCTACAGTCTAAGGGGGTAAATACAAGAGCTGTCCGTAAGACAGCGCGCTCGACTTTTTTATTGCTTGCCAATAAAAAAAGTTTTTGCAGTAAAAGGCAATACAAGAATCTCTGTATTTTTAAAGTGAACAATGGCCATGAGCATTAAGATATTTAGTGAAGAATTATTTTACTGAATTGTGTGATACCCTTGAACACTGCAGCAAAGTTTGAAATGTTTAAGTCAAAAGAGGGCTGGTAAGAAAGAAAAAAAAACTGAGTTGAGCCTTAAATAAATTTAATAGTATTAAACCCACTTTGAGAGTGAACAAGTGGATAGGAATGAATTTTTTTAGATTTTTTAAGTTTTTTAGTGTTTGCCTATAATACAAAACATTGACAGTTAAGGGCCATAATTCAAATAAAATCTTTGACAGAATTACCTTCTCCTGGACATGTTTGGGAATCATGATTGTAAACAAGTATTCCAACTTTCAAATTAATATCTCAAACAGTTCAGTCAAAAAGTGGACTGGTACTAAAAACTTAACTAAGATTCTAAGTCGATAAAAGGCCTTAATTTTTTAAAACAAAATCCTTGACAGAGTTACCTTCTCTTGCGTACAGATGGGGGTAATGATGTGAAATAGCATTAAAAGTTTCAAAGCAATATCTCAAAGGGTTAAGGCAATAAGTGGATTTTACCCATATTCAATGTATTTTCTAAGTCAAAAAGGGGCATAATTCTGTCAAAAACCTTGACAGAGTTATGTCCTCTTGTCTGTTGATGAAGGTCGTGATGGTAAACAAGTATGGTCAGTTTCAAAGCAATACCTCCAATGGTTTTGAAATAAAGTGAGGTGGTACAAAAAACTTAACCAAGATTCTAAGTCGATAAAAGGCCTTAATTTTTAAAACAAATCCTTGACAGAGTTACCTTCTCTTGCGTACAGATGGGGGTAATGATGTGAAATAGCATTAAAAGTTTCAAAGCAATATCTCAAAGGGTTAAGGCAATAAGTGGATTTTACCCATATTCAATGTATTTTCTAAGTCAAAAAGGGCATAATTCTGTCAAAAACCTTGACAGAGTTATGTCCTCTTGTCTGTTGATGAAGGTCGTGATGGTAAACAAGTATGGTCAGTTTCAAAGCAATACCTCCAATGGTTTTGAAATAAAGTGAGGTGGTACAAAAAACTTAACCAAGCTCAATACACTTTCTAAGTCAAAAAAGGGCCATAATTCTGTCAAAAACCTTGACAGAGTTATGTACTCTTGTCTGTAGATGGAGGTTATGATGGTGAACAAGTATGGTAAGTTTCAAAGCCATACTTGTAATACTTTCTGAAATAAAGTGGGGTGGTACGAAAAACTTAACCAAGGTGTGACGCCAACGCCAACGCCGACGCCGACGCCGGGGCGAGTAGGATAGCTCCCCTTTTCATAGAAAAGTCGAGCTAAAAACGAACATAAAAAGCAGAACCAGATTTTGTGACTTTAGACGTATTTTATTTACAGTTATTACAACATAGAATATGCAAGAAACAAATGTAAAATACATAAATACAATGCATATACTTTCAAGTAAATACGCTACAATCACAGGAGTCTATAGAGGGGGGTGTTTTTTTTTTAAGATAGACTTTCTGTGGCTTATTGATAGAATTTCAGACTCCTGTGCTACAATAAACTTAATATTGTGATTTTCAATATATTATTAATAACCGTAAGGGAACGAATTGTAGTTTTCAGAGATCACTCTCTTGTCAAACACAATTTTATAGTCTTTTATTTCTGTCTTTGTTATGATGTGACACATTTCTCTGTTTCTAACGATTTTATTTCTGTCTACAACTTTAACGCATTGATTTTGCATCTGTCCCGTTACCATATCTTTCAGTGTATCAAAATTAATGTCCAGTGAATTCTTAAAATTTAGCGTAATTCCCCTGACTTTACAAATTGAAGATTGACCTTTTTTGTTTGGCTTTTCTAAACAATATGCGTAGTTCTTAGGCCCTCCGGTGATGAATCTAGTTATTTGATTGTTTGGAACTTCATCCGTTAAATCTCCCAGGAAGTCACCTAATGGAGGATCCCACTCACCCTGTACAGAGGTGAACACAACAGAATCGGTATCACAATACAAAACTCTTTCACCTAATGGTTGTAAATAACTGTACAATTTCAAACGGGCTTGAGCGGTTGTGTATGCAGCCACAACAACATTGGTTCTACCTGATGTTTCTATGAAATCAGTATTATATGCCCAGTCTAACTGGACTGCTTCATCATTTATAAAACGTACGTTCTTGATTTCTTGTTGGTCAGATGTCATCATATCAATGAATTGAGATGGATCATCAATAAAGGTTGTTTGCGTAAGGTTGGAACGTTGTCCAAATTTCCCCCAGAAAGAGTTAAGAATAATTTTAGCTAAAAGTCTCAGACCAGGATTTTCTTCAATCTTATCATAATCTAGTAAAATACCTTCTTTATCAAAATACTGCTTAATATACAATTGTTTGTCTTTTTCATTTTCACACCAGTCTGGCCAACCACTGGCTTCCTGTTTGACTTTCAAGAAAGTATTCACATATTCTGTAAAAAGCCCACCTGTTTTGGTACACGGGTCGTATTGAGCTATTTCAGTGAAATGCCAAACTTCGTAAATGGTAAGTAACTTATAACCTTGTGCCTCCCGGCTGACGTCATCATCTGTTTCCTCCTCTTCTTCATCATCAGAAAATTCCATATCAAACAAGTCTTGAAATGAGTTCTTATGCTTTCTGATAACTTTTTTTCACGGCTGATGTCGGATTTAAACCTTTTGAAACCAGTTTATCTATCTGGACCATAATCTGTGTATGTAATCTACTGTTTTTGAGTGGAAGAATATAGTTATCTATTAAAGTTGTATACTTGCTGAAAAAGTCTTTTTCGTTATAAGGTTGTATGCGCTCTTCCGCCATTTCCTGAGCATCATCATGTTCCTCCCCATTGTCTATAAATGTGTTGTATATTTTATCGAATTTTTGATCGTTTGATTCTCTAGCTCTTTTCCATATATTAACGTAAAGCCTCATTATCTTCTACAGAATCTTCGTCATGCTCGCTATCGCTCAACTCCTCGTGTTTTCGTTTCCTTGATTCCCTGTGTTCAGGACACCATCCGCTTTTAACATGTCTCTGCACGTCGTGATTAGTGTCAAATAATTGCCCACAATCATCGCAAGCTTGTCCTTTAGGTTCCATTATGTCTTCC